CCCGCATTTTTTGTTCTTCCTTCCTATATCTAGAAGAAAAACCTTCTTGTGACCAAATGAAGAAAATAAGAAGTTTTAATGTCTAATAAATTAATGGATAAAATTTATATATAATCTCCATAACCTGAAGTTATTTACAGTACAAGCATGGCAGAATGTTTTTTCTAGCACAGGGTCAGCTCAAACTCCCTGCCCTTTCACACCGTCTCTCCATACATTCAAATGCAAAGCTTCACATGGCTTTGGGATTGAGAGGAAAGAAAGCTTGTAGCTAGGCTTACCCTCATCCCACACTGGCAGCACAGGCAGAACAGGGGTGTTGCACCCTGCTCTGTACTGTCCTCCCCCAGCCAGGACATTATGTCACCCAAGACTCATCCCAAGGCACTGACACAGCATTATCTTCCAAGCAGAATGGATTTGTAGGTAGCTTTTTCTGCAGCAGCCTTTTGTCATTGCATCTGTTTTAAAGGCACTCAACAGGAGAGATCTAATGTCTACTGCTGCTGTACAAAAATAGATCTGATTTGGGAAAAATTCTGAGCTTTAACCCACCCTTTGTCCCATGTCACTAAGCGTGTAGCTTGTGTGTTGGATCTAAAGGCTTGAGTAGTTACCAAACAGCACTGTTTACCAATACCAACAAACACTAGTTCTACATCAGAGTGCAAGGCTCAACCTTGTGTGCTTTAAATCCCCAGTACCGAAAATGTTAAATGAAGCTATTGCTTCCATGTGTAGAAGTTGGAAAATAATAAAAGAGTCTTTCCTTCCCTCTTCTTCCATTTGAAAACCTAAAACCCAGGAGTAAAAGACAGGGCAACATCCAGTCCATTGTTACTGCCATGAACTACACTTGTGTTCTTTGGTTTGTGTAACTGTGGTTACTTTAGTTCATGAAGACACACTCGCAGATGTACACGCAATCTACAGCTTCCCTTGAGGTAGGATTTCTCCCTCTGCATAACGTTAGGAGCGTAAAGAGAATGATTTAATTGCAAGAATAGCTTCAGCATCCATTAAGAGAGTTTACAGCATTTTGCTTTATTGTTCCTCTCCCGAGTATCTAGATAAACATACAATATTTTGATAGATGCATTATGATTTGCTCCAACACAAACTGATACAGCTACAGCTGGGAACTTTAAATTGGCAGCATTTCTGCCATGACAGTTACACTTTATGTAAAATTAGTTAGTGCTATGTTTGATACTAAATATCAACAAGTAATACTAGTTTAACAAGTAGAACTACATCACGGTCTCTGAAAGCATTGCCGTAGTAGGACTATTCACATGGGTTCTGAACGACGACCAGGAGATAATCCTTATCTGCAAAAAGATGTAAAAATGTTTAGTTCAATATGTTATCTTATTTCCTGAAAATACTCTTTATTTGTTATTCCTCTCCAACTTTTTATTTCTAAAACCTAAGAGTAATAGCACTTACATGAAAAACGCATTTAGAAAATATAAGCACTTTGTACAAAAATCTGAGATTACAGGTAAAAAATAATCTGTGTCATAAAGCTTAAGTATACCATACTAAAACTATTTTAGTAAGCAGTAAATATGCTTCCAAGAAGATGTAAAAATATTTAAACAAGATGAAAAAAGTCACAGGATAAGCACCTGGAAGCTAGTGCTTGTTATAACAAAAAAAACTTTTGACATCTATGGCCTTTCCTGCAGGTGCAGAGAAGTTCTTTCAGTTCACTACCCAGTTTATTCAGAATCAAGAACAATGTTTACACGTGGAAAAAAGCAGGAAAGATTCGAATAGATTTCTACTGTGAATAAATTCTAAGCATGTGAGATTTCACCCACTAATCTGAAAAGCCCAGGGAAGTTTTGGAAACAAGTCGGTTGGGTAGCTATTTAACATTATCTATTTTAAATGAAACATTTCTTGGAAGTATCCAGTAAATTTAGCAGGGTCGTATCTGCTTTGGAGAGTTAGAAGCTGCACTCCTGCATTGCAATTTTCATGTAAAAGCAACTTAATATAAACCACCAGTGGTTCATTTGCCACCTTGTATTATAGTAACGTACAGTCAAGCCTTTGAACAACTGATCTCCCTGTTAGCAAAAAAGCTTCATGCTTTATACCACTTATTTTCAGGCCAACATACTTTAATAGTTGCTAGTCTAAAAGTCACCTCTGAAAAATAAGTGAAGGGCAAATGCAAAATAAGAATCAAGTGCATCAGTTTAAATCAATGAGCAAAAAACATGATTTAAAAAATGCATTAGGCTTATACTCCAAAATAGAAACTAAACTAAAATTTTAATCTTGGTACCAGCTGATGACTAATGCTAACACTTAATGACAGTGCCAGATTTCTTTCACACATTCTGGTTTCATAGCAGCATTATAAATAATTTGAGCAATGCATGGTAATGCATACCTAGTGCAGTACCTCTGCTCCACATTTGATGTGAAATCAGCACCAGAGGACTACCTCAGGCAGGGCTGGTCACCACTAACCATTCACAGCCATGTCCTCCCCAGTGGCTACGCTGAAGTGATCCCTGAAGCTTCCTCTCTGTTCTGTGTGCCCTCACTGGACACTTCAGTCACAGTCCTGCATACCGTTCGTCTCTGAGTCAGCTAGTGCACACAGCAGGACCTCTGTTCCACTCTGATCTCACTTCTACTTTGCCTGATTCACTTTGTCCTGCTAATTGAGCACAGCTTCACCACAGCTTACAGAATCACAGAATCACAGAATGATTTGGGTTGCAAAGGACCTTAAAGCTCATCCAGTTCTAACCCCCCGCCATGGACAGGACACCTTCCATTAGAGCAGGTTGCTCCAAGTGCCTGTGTCCAACCTGGCCTTGAACACTGCCAGGGATGGGGCAGCCACAGCTTCTCTGGGCACCCTGTGCCAGCGCCTCCGCACACTCA